TTATACTTTATACTATAATATAAATTTATTTAAATTTTTATTTAAAATATATATTTTATTATTAGAAAATAAGTTATTTTTATTAATAATTAGTATTTTATATTATTATAATTTTAATTAAACAAAATTTTTTATTTAAAAAAAATTTTAATAAATAATAAAATAATAGATTGTAAGTCATTTTAATTAATATCAGTATTTATTATACTTTTACTATAATTATAAAATTAAATAAATTTTTATTAAAAATAAAATATTTAATAATTTAGCATGTAAATTATTTTTATTAATTTATTCATACTTATTACTATAATTAAAACTTAATTAAATTATTAAATAGTAATAATATAATAGATTATAAGTTATTTTTATGAATTATTAGTATATATTTATATTTAGTTATAATTAATTTTTACTAAATTTTTAAAAAATATATTATTAAAGAAAGTAAGTTATTTATTATTTTTTTTTTGTTATAATTTAAATTTAACTAAAAATTTATTTTTAAATAAAACTAAAATTAATAATTTATATAGTAAATAATTTAATTAATTATTAGTATTTTATTATTCTTTAACTAGTTATTAGCCTATTGCTCTGCAACAGGATATATTATTAATAAATCAGGTTTAGATCATGTGATTTAAAAATATCTTGTGATTTTAATAGTAAAAATAGATGATCTACAATTTATTGAAAATTTCATGATATATAATATTTAAGATATGATAACTGACTATAAACAGAATGGTTATTTATACATTTAATCTAAAGGTCAGCGATATGCAGGAGATTGATCATAAACGGAATGGTTATTTATATAATTAATCTAAAGATCAGTGATATGCAAGTATTTTTTTATAATATAAGATTATAATTTATATTTATCTAAATATTTATTTAAAAAAATATATAATAAATAATAATATAATAGATAATAAATTATTTTTATTTAATTATATTTATCATAATTTAATTTTAATTATTTATTAAAAAAAATAAATCTTTATTAAAAGGTATATTAATTTTATTAATTAGTAATAGATTATACTTTTTTTAATAATTTAAGTTTAATTAACTATTAATTTAAATAATATTAATAATTAATAATAGATAGTAGGTCATTTTTATTAATTATTAGTATATATATGTTATTCTATTGCAAATTAAGCTCTTATTTAAAAAAATATATTTAATAATTAATAATATAATAGATAGTAAGTTATTTTTAATATTTAATTTACTTTTCTTATAATTTAAATTTATTTATATTTTATTTTTAAAAAAAATTAAGATTTAAAATATAAAATTATTTTATTAATTATTAGTATATTTATATTTATACTGTAATTTAATTTAACTAAAGTTTTTATTTAAAAATATATTAAATTTAATAAGTTAGTTATTTTATATTTATTTATTTGTAAAATTTAAAGTATTTAAATATATAATAAATTTATAAATATATTAATATTATTAAATTAAGTAGGTATTATATTTTATTTTAAGTTATAATTAATATTATATTATTAATAATATAAAATTAATATTTAGAATATATTTAAATTGTTATAAATTACAAACTGAATTTAAATCATGTAATTTTAAATTCTTTCAACAAAATTTTTCTACATTACCCTATAATAAATTATCAGATTTTATAAATTTTACTTAGTAATATATAGTAAAATTAAAGATCTTCAGGTTGCATAAAAGTTTACAAATTTTCAATAAAAGTTATCTGATTTTTTTTTATTTGAAAACTGATCAATTATAGTTTTTAGATATTAAAATGAAAAAAGAAATTTTTTAAAATATGAAAAAATTTCTTATATTAAAGTATAAGTAATAATTATTTATATATTTTTTGCATATTTATATATAAAATTATGTTATCTTTTACTTTATAAATAAGTATTTTTTTGGTATTTATAAATAAAATATTTTTGAATTATATTTTTAAAATTATAATTGATTAGTTATTGAATAAAAAAATTTAGAATGAATTATATTACAAATTCATAAACTTTTATACAATCTAAAAAATCTTCAATTTTACTATTTATTATTAAGTAAAATTTATAAAATCTAGTAATTTATTTTAGGGCAGTGTAATTAGACTAATAAAAATAAATTTATTGATAAATTTATTCAAGAAACCCAATTAAATGCTTTAAATAAAAAGCAAACATTAGAATAGATTCTTTATAACAAATTGGAATATATTAAATATCTTAATAAAGAAGGATTTAGCATAATATATAAAGCAATTTGAATAGATAGAATTATTATATATTATTTATATAAAAAGAAAAATTAGTTTAGACATATTAATTTTAGCACAATTCTTAAAAGCTTTAATAAATCATTAAATCTAAATGAAAATTTTTTAAATAAGATATTTAATAAATATTTATTTTAATTTTTAATTATTTTAATAATTATTATATTAATTTTTATTATTTTTAATAGAAATATCATTATAAATATTATTGTAAATTAAAGAAATATTCAGAAAAAAATCTTAGTCAATTATATGGATTTATTCAAGATCCTAATATTTTAAATTATATGATAGTTATAAAATATGTAAAAAATAATAATTTAAGAAACTATTTATTAAATGTAGTTATAAATAAATGAATAAGTAAATTATTAATATTGTATAAATAAGTGAACTTAATAAAATACATTAGCAAAATCTTATTCATTGTGATATTCATAATGATAATATTTTAAATATTAAAAAAATATTATTTTCTATTAGTGTTTTAGAATTATGTAAACCTGTAAAGCATTCTCAATCATTTAAGAAAAATGATAATTATAGTGTTTTACTATTTGTAGCACTTGAAGTTATAAGAGGTTAACCTTATAGTTTGCTAATAATATATATACAGTCAACTCTTGATATAGCGAACTCTTGATATAATAAATTTTTAAACAAATATAATAAAAATACTCTTGTTATAGTGAATTAGCCAATCAAATCTCTTAAAATCTTCACTATAGCCTTATAGCAAAGTTGAGGTCTAGGACATAGAGTTCGTTATAACAAGAGTTGATTGTAGTTTTTCTATAATTATGTGGGAATTTACATCTGAAACTTATCCTTTTAATAATGAAGCTCATGATTATTTACTTAGTTTAGATATTTGTAAAGGTAAATGTTATGAAATTATTGAAAATACTTTATAGTGTTATATAAGTTTAATGAAAAGAGGGATATGGATCTATCAAAATGATCAACTTTATCAGAAATTAAAATAATTATTGAAGATTAGTATAATAATATCAAAATCATTAATTTTGATAAATTGTTAAAAAATGATATTATTAATTTTTATAAAGCAGATAAGATATTAAAATAACAGCAAGATAATGTTGCTATTAATAATAAATTTACTACTAAATCACATTCACGAGTATATTATACAAGCCGTTTACTTAATTTTACTAAAAGAATAAATGAAATTTTAAATCCTGATATGAAAATTAGTCATAAAATTGAAAATACTGGTAATTATTTTGAATTTTTAAATTTATTAATATTTGAAAATTTGATTTATTCAAATATAAATAATAAATTTTTAATTAATAGAAGTTTTTAATAATAGATAATAAAGTATGTGATTTGAATTATAAATAAAATTCTATATACTGTATTTATTTAATTTATTCTTATATAATAGACGAAAGCTTTAATATGTTTATAATCCATTTATTCAAATTTATTATATTATTTTTCTTATAAGTTTATTATATTTTATATAAAATTTATTTAGTAATACGATATATAGAATAAGTTTTATATAAAAAGCATGTCGTAACGTAATTACTAAATAAACTACTATTATACTATCAAATTATATATAAATTGTAATAATAAAAAATATAACCAATGGTTTTTTGAATTGCTGATTATTATAATGAAAATAAATAGAATTTATCAGCTAAAACTAAATTTCTTTGGCATTTTGTACTGAATAACTATTTATTATCATAATATAAATAACCCATAACTTATTACAAAGATTTTTTGTTAAAGTAACTGCTTTTACTATAATAACTATTTTATAGGTATTTACTTAAAATTAAAAAATAACAAACCTATAATCACCAAAAAAAATGGTAAACCGGATAGCAGTATATTTTTTCTTGATCAAATTAATATTATTTCGATGCAAAGTATCTTATGAATATGAGATCTCTATATCATCCTAAGAAATACTAGTTATATCATATCATTTTCTAGCATCATGCGAGATGACAAATATACTCATCGGGGCGCGGCGTTGTTTACGGTGGGTAAGTATTTTCCTATATATTAATCCATTAGTTTAATTTTTATTTGGAATGAAATTCAATCAAATTGTTTCCATTTAAAGTTAAGCATCATTATTTTTATTATTTTTTATTTTTAAAAAAACACAAATCGAAAAAAATATTGGCGGGTACAGAAAAAAATATATAGAAATACTTGTCTACATCTCTCTTAAATGAACTAGCTCTTTCACGTTTAATGATTTCTAACCCACCCTACAATCCTTATTCCACCTTTACCTTACATCACCAGTCCATTATTGTCGATAAATATATTCCTTCTTTATCAAGTTTCAAATCGAAATTTTTATAATTACTCAATAATGATTCTTGGGATAAGTATTATGGTCCAATAAGAAATTGACTCAATGCTCTTCGTATTATCCGAATTTTGAAGATTTTACGAAGAATTTGAGAACCATCAGGATATTCATCAAGAATATTGCTTAAATTAATTCTTCACCATTTCTTGCATAATTACAAATTAAGGCTACACTTTAATCAAAATTTGCTCGAATTGATTTACGAATTTGATTTCCAAATAAAGAAAGGAAAGATATTTTCAATATTTCGTATATAGCATAATATTTTATTTAATCTGATTATTCAAATTTATTTGCAAAATCTTTTATTTATAAAAACCGAATTGAACTTGGTATGATAACAAATACGGGCTCTTACTTTTCTTTCTTAATCATTACATATTTTATAGTATCACTTGGACCTAAAAAAAAATCAAAATCAGATTGATATTATAAATCAGACGGTTATGTAAAATATAAAAAAATAAATCAAATGTATTTACCATTTTGAAAAAAGCTAGGTTTTTCTTTTTTCTCGGGTTCTTCCTTATCTTTCTTAATCTGTTCTTTTTTTATAAGTTTGATAGTGCCACTTGGGCCTAAATACAAAAAATAAATAAATATACGTTCATGTAAATTATTACAAATAAATTAACCATAATTACTTACCATTGGGAAAAAATAAAAGTCCATTGTTGACACCTTTTTTGACAGCTAATCGGAGACGTTTGTTTGTAAGGTTGTTGTCGGGAAGTTTATATGTAGTCAAAATGTAATTTTTAATAGCTTGACGGCTATTATTAATGAATGAAACAAATTATGTTAGAAATAGAAAAAAAAACTTTGAAACATATGAACTAAAAAAAAATTTATAACCTGCTTCCTTTACGTTCATTCAAAGCGACGATAGCTTCTGAAAATTATTAGTAAATTAATAAAAAGTTTTTGATGCGCATTTCTTTTATTTATTTTTTAATCAAAGCATTTTCTGAAGTATTTCGTCGGTCTCTTTTTGAAATTAACAAAAAGCAAGTGATATTTCATAACTCTACCTTGAATCATAACTTCGTATTTTGGATGGCTTGCTACCTCTTTTGGATTTATGAGACTTGAGCTCTCTTTTCCCATTGTTTCCGTTTCGGTGAAAAAAGAAAAAGAGTTATTTTCCAGTATACATGTAAGAATAAATTTTCTGGAGAAACTTTTAGGTTGCAAGGTATAGTTGAAATGGGGCTCGCTAAGCAGCGTGTAATAATAATATTTGCCAATAACTTGCGTTGTTTTGCTTACCTTGTTGTGAGAGGTATAGTTTGGCAATGTCCTCATCTGTGACTTTGGTATTTAATAGTTTTTGCTGATGATAAAATTTTGCAAAGTTGAAATCCATTGTTACGAAAAGGAGAGAAGAAGCTATTTTTTTTTTCCAATAATTTGATGTGAATTTAACCAGATCGATTGTGCGACGTCAACTCCCTTGATTGATTAATTGGATTGTTAGTAATTGCTTATCACAACTTTATTTCTAGTTTATAATGTACAAAGTCTATAAGTTTATAAAGCCCTTACATGAATTCAGAATTCATTTATGATATATTTACTTAACAATAATTTCTGCAGCTAAGCTATTAAAATTATTATCGCAAGGCCCTATAGGATCATGCTGAGTTTGTTGGACCAATTTTTTTTTTAAAATGAATATCAATAGTTTATTTGCGTACAATATTGAGCATCAATAGTAGCATATCTTTGTAAAATATTGCTATATAGTAATAAAAAATTAAAAATCTGTAATGTAAATTTTCAAATTAACCTGTTGTAATAGCAACCGTCAAAATTTTTGAGTAACTCTAGGAATGGAAACCATTTTAAGTCCGGAGCGAATTTTTTATTTAAAATTAATAAATATAAATCAATAAATTAATTAAATATATGTAAAAAAATTTTTTTTTGATTTACTGATCTTACACGCGGCGTGACAAACGGAAATACTCACGTGATCATAAAATTTCACACTATTTCCTAATAGTATAATGTCCCCGGACAATCAGTCGAAAAAATCTAAAATTAGATTTTAGTCCCCAGTAAAAATTTCGTTATTGAAAATACTAAAAAAATAATAATTAATATTTTAATCCCTGTCGCACTAAGTGTCACTCATGATTATTTTCATACAAATTTCAAAATTAAATTTCTAATAAAATTAGTGTAACAATGTCCCCGTGGGGTGATTTTAATAGCAAAATCTCAAAGTTGATTTCAAGTATTACAAAAATTAGTGCCAGTAGGACAGACATTTCGAAATCAATTTCTTATCTCGTAAGGTGATTTTATAGCTTATATTAATATAAATTATAAGTTCAATAAAATACATCATATCTTTCCAAATCCAGCTGATGTAACGCACTTAAAGCTTTAATACCCGTATGTTAGATATAGTTCACATTTAAAAATCTGGAAGGTTGTTTGATGTATGTATATGATTGGAAATTTCCATAACTATTCATGCATGAGATGGATTTCCGTTACGTAATCTTTCCGCCTATTTTTGAACTTTATTAATTGAACTACTAAAATCAGTTTAATTCTTATCTTTGGTTATGAATACGAAATTCGATAATCGGATTGGCTTCTTCCAATATCCATGATATTTTGTTTTTCTTTTCCTTGCATGGAAATAATTTATTATTTGAAAAAATAATTACGATGCAAAAAAAAAGAAAATCATTAAAGGAAGAAGCTATATTTTTATTTATGGAATCTCCTTTACCAAAATAATATTACACTTTTTTTAGTTCAACGACTTTTGCAAGATTTTTTTTTTACTCGAATAATGATTCCATGAAGAAATCAAAATTATGGTAAAAATTCTTTTATTATATAAATGAAACTTTAATATTCAAAAAGCATCTAGGGATTGGAATCGATTCAAAAAAGTAGTATCGATTTTAAAATCGATTATTCGCGATTAATGTTTCGATAGATTAATAGATTCTAATCGATTTTATTTATGGAGCAAGATTTTGTGATCGTAAAACAAAATTTAATTGTTAAAAATTTTTATATATAAATAAATAAATCATTTGCCAACAAAATTATTATGATATTATTTTTCAAGCATATTTGACATAAAATATTATAAAAATTTTACTATAAAATTTTTTTTTAATTTTTGTTTTACTTTGGGTTCCTCGCTTTGGGCCGCTGCGATAGAACGAAATTTTCTTTATTATTAATAATTAAGATCACTTTCGGCTCGGATCGCTTCGGAAGTAAGCGGTATTTTTTTTTTCTTTTAGTCTAATTTTTAGTTTCTCTTTTTTACTTATCTAAATAATATCGTTCGCGCTTTTGATAAGACCATTTCTTTCTTAAATCGAGTTGGTAAGTTTTTTTTTTTTGATCGTTGCATCGATCAATTTTTATTTTTTATTAATGATATTTTTTTTCTGCCTCATTATTATTATAATTTGAAGAAATTATAATTTATCGACAGTTGTCTTTTAAAAAAATTAAAATCTTTTATCAGTAATGTGATAAATATGTTGGTTAAACGATTTTATAAATTGTTCCTTTTTAAATTTTTCTTTTTAATAAAAAAAATATTGCGATTTACCTTTATGCACATCAATTATATTTCTTTTTTTATTTAGATGGGAATATTTTCTTGATACTTTTTCGTTTATGTATAGAATTTTGTAATTTAAAAATAGTTACTTTAAAAGGATCGTTTATTGAATATTATTTAAACAATTACAACTTTTAAAAGTACGTTAAATGCTTGCGCTTAGCCAGATATAGTT